GTGGAAGAAAGAGGCTTCGAGATTGTTTCATTATTATTTTACTATATTTTTGATGTGTTGGATAAATGATGATTCCTCGGTACCTACTGATGTTCCTGTATTCCATTTTTCTTTCAAGTCTATACTGAACCCGGTAACGAATATCTACATAACCAAAACTCCAACTTTAGTGTCTTTCCGATGTGCATATACTAACTTCGATTCTAACAATATACAGTATGATCAAAAGATTGGAAGTTGGTTGGATAAAGGAGAGTTGCAAAATATATTAACGCGCACCTCTCACTAGGCGTTTGCGGAAGTTTAGTTTCATATTTTTTTCGAAAAGTATAGTCATAGGATTGAGTTGGGAAAAACCGCTGTCGACTTGGAACGCTCATGAGTTTTAGCACGTTTATATGAGTGGGATCGTTGATGAGTTGTGTCGTTGATGAGATTTTTTCGGGGGCATATTGTGATTTGTTTGATGTTTTCTGAAAAACATTTTCGAGATGTTTTGCTAGCGGACCTATAATAAGACCACTAGATTTTGTTTACGAACAAATCACATTTTTTGACATAGTTGACTAGTGACTACTAGTTTTGCGATTCGGAGCAATTTTTCGTGTTATTATGTAATTACTTTTCCATAATTATTTTCACATTATTCGATGTATAAAAAAACTAGTCATAGCATGGGTCTGAAAATTCCCAATTTGATTGAAATATCCATACTGAGTATATTGGTGGAAAAAAATCTTACATCGACGGTAATAATTTCGAATTAGAGGGTGATGAAAAAAATAGTGGTTTTTGAATATTTTTTCGTGGTTGTCAATTTTTTCAATCGATGAATCACTCTGTATATCATGGAACTCATTGGGATACATCCTTCAAAAATATTTTGAATGTCTGGAATCAACCCGATAATACGAGGTGGCCCAATGAAGTTTAGGATAGACCAATTATGCAATCAACAGCATTAATGAAACACCATGTATAATTATTATATTTTACGAATTCAATTGATGTAAGAAGAGCATACTTGGCTATAAATCTCATTTTGTAATTGTTATCAATTTGTAGCATTGATATTCAGATATTCAAAAAAACACATTATTTGAAATGAGAATCACCCTGTAATAAAAATCAGTTTTGGTCGAATACCTATATAGTTCTTGCGCCTAAGGGCATAACTATTACGTGCTCCCGAAAAATTGGAATTCATTTGTCCTATCTTAGAGATATAGGCCGAGAAAAATTAGGTATTCTTCAACTTCAACACCCTGTATCTCGTAAACTAGTCATAGGATTGAGTTGGGACTTGGCATATTCAATCAGTATGTCGAGTACTATCATTTACCAAAAATTGGGGAAATTCGACGGAACGCCATTTTTATATAGAAAAAGTGCGGGGTCCTTTACCTCAGTATTGAAACAAATTCTGTTCTCATTAATATCTTGATTATTATTATCATTTGAATTTGTAGAATCTTCTTCGCTTTGTACATAATTTGTATTATGTTGCCAACTCCTACCTGTGTTTTGGCCTCCACCTCTATATTGATACCTTCCTCTTATCTGACCTCTAAAATTTCTATAGCCTCTGGAAAAACTTCCTCTAGGAATTCCTCTGGAAAAACTTGTATGAGCACCTGCTCTAGACGGAACAGTTTGAATTCCACCTCTGGAAAAACTGGTTTGAGTTCCTCCTCTTGAGAAACCACCTCTAAAACCTCTTCCAGAGAAACCATAAGTCTGTTGCATTCTTCTGTTCTCATTCCAGCAATCTTGTCGAATGTGTCCCTTCTTTCCACATCCATAGCATACCTTTTCAGATACAAATGCTGTTGCAATATAGGTTTTATCAGATTGGCTTCTATTTCCTATTCTTCTCTTCTCATATTCTGCCATTAGTTTTGTTTTGATATAATCATATTTAAGTTCATTTGATGGCAAATTTTCAATCACTGTAACTACAGTTTCGTAGGACTTGGGTAATGTCATCAAAAGGTTACATATGATATCCTTTTCATCAATTTTCACACCTGTAGCTTTCAATTGGCGAAATATTTCCTCAAATTCCATAATGAATTTCTCCAAGCATTCTCCTTCCTTCAATCTCATTGATAACATTTTCCTTTTCAAAAACAATTGTCCTGGTAGGCCCTTCTTCTCAAACTTTTCTTCTAGGGTTTTCCACATATCATATGCTCTTTCTTTATCTCGTAGACATTCCAGTTGGGTGTCTGAGACACACTGGACAATCAACGATTTCGTTCGATTATCATTCTTCTCGAATATACTCCTGTTTTCTGCAGTCATAACAGAGGTGTCCATATCATTCTGAGCATATTGTAGGACCCCCTGTTCTGCCAATGCTAATTCCATCCTAAATTTCCAATTGTGATAATTTTCACCATTAAGCAAATCTACATTGATTGATCTAATTGTATTTTGGGCCATTTTGTACTTGTACCTTTTCCAAATCACGTTTTGATAACCTCTTTTATAACTTCACTTTTTATCTCAACTTTTTATCAGTTATCAAGCTTACAATCAATACCAACACTTTGTCTTGAAAAATCATCCTAAAATATGCTTTTGATAGAAATACATAATGTACAGTAATTATTAATTAGCCTAAAATTGGTCATTTTATCTCCATATATCAAATCGGTGAAAAATCTATGTTTTCAAAAATGGCTCTGCTGAGTTTGGCTGAAGCTAGCAGCAGGTTTCTTTTGAAAAATATAATATAGCCGTAAAAAAATAATAGTCGCCTATGGCTCATGCTGCAATCATTCAAGTAGGAAATTAGCATTCCGTGCAAGTTATACACTATTATTTTTTTACGGCTATAATAGATAACAGCGGCATTTTCGATTTCTTCGTCTTGTATCCATCTGATTTCCTGTCAAGTGATGCTCATCTATTAGACAGAGCTGTAATTGCTTCACATTTGACATTCCATGAGCGATGAGATGTTTTTGAAATAATAACACAATGGAATCATTGTGATATCAGATACGGAAATAATATTGATGACATACAAAGTACCTCATGACATATCGAACACAGTAAAACAAGAGCAATTTTGTGTTATAGTCGTAGAAAATGGTTTATTGTTTAACTAGCACGGGATGATAGCGATCCCACGAGAATGAGGTTTGCAGCATGAGCCGTAGGCGATTGCTGCAATCATTCGAGTTATACACTATAATTTTTCTACGGCTGTAACAGATAACAGTGACATTTTTGGATTTCTTTGTCCTGTAGCCATATGATTTCCTGTCAAGTAATGCTCATCTATTAGATAGTGCTGTCATTGCTCGAAATTTGACATTCCATGAGCCATTTGAATGGCATTACCTTAGTGGAATTTTTAACTCAAACCATGTTTATAATGATCCTTTTATACATAAATAATGATTGACGACATAATTCGATCGAAAAATTAACTGGAATGTTTTATTTTTGTACATAAATAATAGTACCTTCTGAAAACGGACCCTCTTATGACGTAGAAACTTTATCTCGCCATAGTTAAAAGAAAATACCAAACGCCCGACGGAGACTGAGACAACTGATATATTAATTCTTTCAACTGTGATCTCGCGCTAATTCACTCTTTCTAAAATCATGTATCAGTCATCTCTGTCTGGAATAGTCTTGTTTCAGTATTAGGGTTTTGATGTCACATCATCGCCTCGTTTTCAGAGGTCCGGAAAATCGGGGATTTCAATAATTTTTTATAAAACGTAGGGAGCTCACAGCAAGCAACGGTTTGCGGTGGTGAGCTAGTTATGGTGAGTTCTATCGAATTATGAAATAAATTTTTTTTTGTGATATAAGCCCATTCAACAGACTTGAACACACTCGAACATGTCGATATTTATTGATAAGTCGAGGGTCAACAAAATATCAATTTAAATAAAATAAATAAAAAACTCAGTTATTTCCACAAATTCTCATAAAATGAACAACAATGGTAGATGACGAAAAAAAAAAAACAAATAATTTCCTTAACGAAAAAAAAAAAAAAAGAAAATTAGTGGTCCCCTTGTTTTTTTTCAGAATAATTTAATATTCTGTGTGGCATTAGTCAGGGAAGTAGTTGTATTTCTCTAGTTATCTACTATTGTGCATTTTTCTAACATTTTGTGAACGATTTTTAGTTGTTTTTTTTCTCGATTACCTATTCAATCAAATCATTCATTTGAGAATATTGGCATTTTCATAGTTTTGATTTCCATTTTCAGAATCAAATACTCGATATATCATTAACAGATCATAAAATACCAACTATAGATACCGTCAACTTATTTCTCTCCCAATACTCCTCTGGGGTGAATTCTCTAATCGACTTTTGATTCGACTCGATTTTTGAATTCATTTTCTTGTTTCACTTGATTTTTTGGGATTTTCTCTCCTCCTTTCAATAAAATGAAAATATGCGTATTATTTCAATATATTTGTAGTGAGATAAATCAGATGATTTGCCCCAAAATGTCACTGCGTTTAAAAATTTTTTCTATCAGGGAGCCTAAAAGAAAAATCCAGTAGCTTGTCAGTGACACTTTGTTCAAAGAAATGTTTGAAGGAAAGAAATATAGATATATTGAAAAAATATCGAATTTTCACTCATCTTTGGACGTTTCGGGAACGAAGCTGCTTCCGTTCTCAACATGAAAATGCAGAATATTTTTCTATGGAAGTTGTGCTCTGCTTATAGTTGTTGGCATATGAATGAGTGTTTGAGTCTACAAATGAGTCACTGGATGATTTCATTAATTGATCTTGAATCTACCATTTTCACGTTCAGTTTTCAGTAATGCATACTATGTTCTATCTGTATCATTTTTTGTATTTGTCAACAGAAGAACCCAATGAGCCAGACACCAGTGTAGATCTAAATCTACCACCCAAACAAACGCTTGGTAAAGGAAAACGGGCTCGGATACCTAACAAAAAATATAGTGATATCATGCTCTCCCCAAATCAAAAAAAATCATTTCAAGAAAATGGATCGGAAAGAATCGAATCAGAAAAAGAGCCAATGATGGAAGTTAGCGTGAAAGTAGAGCCTCTCAGTCCCTCTGTGATGTCCTTGATATCGAGAACTAGCTCGGGTAGTCCTACCCCAGCTAAAAAACAACGAGTTTCAATTGATTTGTCTGATCCCAAGTACTTGAAGCCATTCAACTATGGCTGGAAAAGAGAGCTGGTATGGAGAGCTACTAATTATGATATTTCTAAAAAAAGCGGTGACATCTATTATTACACTCCATCTGGTAAGAAAGTTCGGTCAATGAGAGAAGTTGCAGAGGTTCTCAAAAACAAGGAGCTCACACTGGACAATTTTTCCTTCTTCAAGGAATCCCTGGGAATAAATGATCCAGAAAAAGAGATCATACGACATGCCAAGAAATTGAACTCATCTCAACTGGCCAAGCATGTGGTTACTAAGACAGTGGCAGCGTCAAAGATGCCAAGAAGTCCGAAATCGCCTGGAAGCCCCAAAGTGCCAAAGAGTCCTAAATTACCTGCAAGCCCTAAGTTGTCAGTGTGTACTAAAGTTTCGAATCCAAAGATTACAAGCCCTGCCAAAGTAGGCAGTAGGGGTAGTCCAAGATCAAGTAGTCCAAGAGCAGTTAGTCCAAGGGCGGGTCAGAATGAAACTGCAGATAGTCCTGCAATCAAAGCCAGAGCTGCACCCAAAGCTTCCAGCAATTTCAAGGTAAGAATTGTTTTGAGGACTAGAAGAATTCTGTAAAGGCAGATTCATGCAACATTTATGACAATTACATCCTCACTACATTTTAATTAGGTTTTCACCTTGGTTTTCACCTGCCATGAGGTATCAGTTCATGAAACTTATGGTCATAAAGAACTAATTATTCAAGGTTATACATATGATTTCCTCAGTTTGTCAAAATGTTTACATGATGTTTAATGATATGTGTTTATTTTGAATATAATATCTGAGAAGAATACTTAATAGTTTTGTGGAAACATATTTTTTAATGACCTAATCTTGCGAATCAGACGTTTTCACTAGAAATGTGATTATTCTTCACATCTCGGTCCTCTTCTGGTTATGTATGATATACCCCTTATTCTATGCCTTTACTGCACATATTTGAAAAGACAAGTTTTTTGTCATCGCGGAAACATATTTTTTAATGACCTAATCTTGCGAATCAGACGTTTTCACTAGAAATGTGATTATTCTTCACATCTCGGTCCTCTTCTGGTTATGTATGATATACCCCTTATTCTATGCCTTTACTGCACATATTAGAAAAGACAAGTTTTTTGTCATCACCTTAAAATCCCACTATTACAAATCGGCTTACGGCTATTCCGTATTCTATTTTGTTTATCTATTGCTATACTTCAAAAACACAGGGTGTTTCTAAAGGAGCGATCCTTGGAATGGGTAATAGAAGATGAAAAAACAACACGAAATGAAGGAATATGTTTGAGAAAGCCTTTGACGTTTTCAATTAATAAGTATTATATTGATATTATTATTATATTATATCATTTTACTGTATTATCTTCAAAACTAAGTGGAATTAGTTATGGTATACGTACTGTATCTAAATACATGAAGATAGGAACTCTTAAAATACTATACCACGCAAATTTCGAATCAGTAGCTAGATATGGCATAATATTTTGGGGAAACAATGCTGATATACAGAAGATTTTCATAATTCAAAAGCACTGTATTCGTATAATGAATAAAATGGAATTTGATGATTCTTGCAGGAGCATATTTAAATCACAGAACATCATGACCATATATGCCGTGTATATTTATGACTGTCTCATGTTCATATTTAAAAATAGGGACAAATTTAATTTTCAATCTGAACGCAATTATAATACAAGAAATCAAAATGTTATATATCCTATCCACCGGTTGACAGCAACTGAAAAGAGTCCACATTACATGTGCATAAAGTTATTTAATAAGTTACCAAATCATATAAGAAATATCTCAAGTATTCGGAAATTTAAAAAACTTATCAAAAATACATTATTAGAAATAGAACCATATAGTGTTAGTGAATATTTGATCTATCTTTTCTAAGATGTTACGTATGTATGTTTATGTACCCATCTTAGTTTGATGTTTTTTTTGTTCTGACGTCATTTCATTTCATGTATCAACATAATTTGAAATAAAGAAAATTTATTATTATTATTATTATTATTATACAGGGTGATCCACGGTGAATGGCCTATTAGAAGTATCTGGAGAACGAAAAGACAACACATTCTGAAAATTGAGATGCTTTGATAATTGAACATTCTCTATCCGTCTAAAATATATTCATCGATACAGTGTTGCCACTTCTATCAGAAACAACTAGCAACTTTGTTATTTCAAATGGAACACCCTGTATTTTTTTTTCGTTTTAAGATTCTTCTTAAAGAGCTGATTTCATTAATGTATCACACTTGGGGTCTAGCAGGAATTATTACAGAGATATAGGGTGTTCAAAATCGAGATTTTTCAATTCCAGGAATTTTTTGTGGCGAAACTATTCATTATCGATCAAAACGGCTTGCATGTCCCTATCATAACTTTTGATTCACTATCTACTGACATTTAATTGGAACAGATACAGAGTGATCAAAATTCTGAATCTTGGACCACCCTGTATTTTTTCCAATTAAATTCCAGTAGATAGTGAATCAAAAGTTAAGATAGGGACATGTGTGCCGTTTTGATCGATAATTAATAGTTTCGACACAAAAAAATACTAAAATTGAAAAATTTCGATTTTGAACACCCTATATCTCTGTAATCATTCCTGCTAGACCCCAAGTGTGATACATTGATGAAATCAGCTCTTCAGGAAGAATCTAAAAATGCAATAAAATACAGGGTGTTCCATTTGAAATAACAAAGATGCTAGTTGTTTCTGATAGAAGTGGCAACACTGTATCGATGAGAATATTTTAGGCGGATAGAGTATGTTCAATTATCAAATGATCCCAATTTTCACAATGTTCTGTCTCTTCGTTCTCCAGGTACTTCTAATAGGCCATCCACCGTGGATCACCCTGTATATTTCCGCTCATTCATCATAGTTGCACTAAGACGACATATATCTTGTAGCGCTGACACATGAATTTGATTCTCACCCGCATGATTAGTAGCTCTTCATTATTATTACTGATCGCCGTGCTTTTTGGAAACAAAACTGACAAAGCCATTTTGGCACAATCAAATGAAAATCATCTAGTATTCAACAACTATTGATTAACAGTTTTTAACACCAACCCGAATTTTTAACTGGTGTTGGGCCAGCTTAACCTCAAGCTAGCACAACCGTTTCACAATTTTCCACACAAATAAGTTATGGACATTATTCAAACCTCGATTCAAACACTAAAATTTTTAACTTTTTAATAACTTTCGAATGGCGTGTTGATAATTTGAATTTGAGGAAATTAGAATGTTTTTTTAAAGTGACAAATATGCATTCAATACCTAAAATGCATGTACATTTTTCATGTGATTATCAATAGTATTCTTTTGGCAACAATCAACAAATTATGATGATAGATTAGTTATCAATAACTTCTCAACTATTACTGCTAGAGTATTGGAATTTGGTACACTTACTGAAGTTGATGTGAGAACTGCTAGGTTTACAATTCCAAGTGTTTACACTAAACAAGAAAACAATAAAAATATTCTTCAAATAGCCCTACCGAGACTTCTGTCTATTGTATCATTCTACTATGACACGAATACAATGATTATTCTAGCACCATCGATGCTACATCATAGATTTTACTTGATATTTTCAATTTTTCCTGTTTTTCATTTCATTTGATTTTGCCAAAACGGCTGTCAGTTGTATATACCTCGTGCTTTTGTCGATCTCCTCTGCACGTGTCACTGGGTTGGTGTATGTATTTCTAATTCTAATAATAATTGCTTTGCTGCATTTGCTATATAGCTATAGTGCAAGTTATTGCTTTCTTATGCATAATCTACCCGCGATTCAGCTATTAGTTTAGTAGTTTCAAGCTGTGTAACCATTGCCACCATTGACCGAGACGCCGGTTCCCATGCTGTGAATCCAGAGCGTAGTACCATCTGACTAAAAGGGCTCTTTGAGAAGACGTTTGCTCGTCAGTTGACCTACCATCCGAGGTTCTATACAGGGTGCCCGTTTTTCGAGCTCCACCATGGGTATCTCGGTTATTATAAGAAATGCAAGGTCAGTTAAATTAGGGCAAAGTTGCGCATTTTAATGCTGAACATTTATTCGCAAGAAATTTTCAGTTTTTGAATTATTTAGAGAAAACGAAAATTTAAAATTTTAATTTCAATTTTTTCAAGCGAAAACCAAAAAACCTAGACGTTTCTGACTAGGACATTCTTAAGGCACTTTTTACAAGGAGTCTGCATCTGTCATTGTATTTTCCATGACGTTCTGGATGCCAAAGTTACAACACCCAACTTTGTTTTTTGAAAAGTACTTTTTTCTGATTACAATGATGTATAATACAATATGATAGAATCTTTTCTGTTGATCAAAATTGGGAGAAAAACTTTTTTGCGAAGAGTGCTTTGGAAGGAACGCCAACAGTTGTTAAACAAACTGAATTTTAACAGTTCAATTGAATATACAAACAGAACTGTTGAATTCTTAAGCTTATCCACATAACGCCAGAAGGGTTGCCAACTGTCCGTCAGATATGTTCCCTGACTGTCGAAATTCAACTTGTTAAACAAAAATGTTGGCATTCTTTCCATAGCACTCTTCGCAAAATTGTTTTTTTCCCAATTTTGATCGACAGGAATGATTCGATCATAACGTGTATTACATCATTGTAATTAGGAAAAAAAAAAGACTTAAAAAATGCTTAAATCCAATATAGTGCCTAAAAGAAAAAACAAAGTTGTCTGAAAATTACAAATTTTCGTTTTCTTCCAATAATCCAAAAAATAAAAATGACACATCAAATTTTCTCAGATAAATGTTCAGCATGAAAATGCGCAACTTTGCCCTAGTTTAACCGACCCCGTATATCTTATAATAACTGAGATCTCCATGGTGGAGCTCGAAAAACGGACACTCTTTATAGTACAACTCGTTTAATTCCATTTATTTGTTTAATTTCAATGTTCGCTATTTTCCCCAGAGTTTACAACTTTTGGGACAAAGTCAATTTTTCGAATCACAAAGGCTATCGAAACGCTAACAATATAATTTTTGAAACCAACAGTAACCTTTGGGTACCACTGATCAGTCCGCAAGATGGCTAGATTTTTACATATTTTACAGTCATTCAACCTTACTTTTTTGTTTTTGTTGGTAGAATTTCAGGTGTAACAAATCACGATTTTCTCTGGCCAGATGTTTTTAAAAGTGTTCTAGCGTTATTAAAATTATTATATTTCTCCTCTTTAGCGCCTAGGTGCGGGATATTATTGTGTATCCGAGTTTTCATCATATCACTGTTAGTTCAGTTCGCGGAGTTTCCAAAATTTTCCGATGGCAGATAAATGAACAGCTCATAATTGTGCGACAACAAAAATGATGGGACCATCAATATAATTCATTAATAGATCCAAAGGTAAGTTGGTTCACATACACATTTATAGATTTACCATTG